TCAAGAAAAAAATCTATGCTACAGTGCATGGTGAGTATCTGTTGCTGCTATGTTTTTCCATTTTGACCTTTCACATTATTACTCATATAAGTGTAGTTGAACTTATAACTCAGTTTGTTTGAGAAATTACATAGATTAAGACCATGCAATATAGCATACAATATTTGGATTTTTCTGACATGGGAATTTATTCCAAAGGTTTATATAAAGTTGTTTTTTCTCTTCTTTCTAGGTACTTTTAACCTATGCCATAATTATGGAATAAATTAAGATTTTTAAATATAAGATAGAACTCTTCAAGACTTTGAGATTTTACCAATTTGTGATTGAGTTTTATAGCTCTCATGCTAAATGGACAAATGAAAAGTTTATGACTGAGTACCAATACAAGACCTTGGAACTTGACTGCATGCAGGGTATTGGCCCTGAAGGGAATTGTTCTTAACTTGAATATCTAATGCTCTGGGACATGTAGAACATCCACCAGGCCAATCCATTTATCTCTTCTTAATGTGACCAAGTACAGTTAAGAAGTCCTACATTTACTTGTGTTTCTCAGTCAAAATAAAAATGTATCCTGCCAGACCTTTTTGTGAGAATTAATGTTTTCTAATGTTAGAAAAGCAATAAATAAGTTATGATCTATAACTCATTGACTCACGTCAATAGACTTTTCTTCTCTGAAAAAGACTACATTCCAGATAATTGGCAGTTTGTAAAATTAAATTTAGTTTTTACTTTTCATATGTCTTTTGCATTTTTTTATTTTATTTTTTAATTTTTTTTGACAGGCAGAGTGGACAGTGAGAGAGAGAGACAGAGAGAAATGTCTTCCTTTTGCCGTTGGTTCACCCTCCAATGCCCACCACAGCCAGCGCGCTGCGGCAGGTGCACCGCGCTGATCTGAAGCCAGGAGCCAGGTGTTTCTCCTGGTCTCCCGTGGGGTGCAGGGCCCAAGCACTTGGGCCATCCTCCACTGCACTCCCGGGCCACAGCAGAGAGCTGGCCTGGAAGAGGGGCAACCGGGACAGAATCCGGGCCCCGACCAGGACTAGAACCCGGTGTGCCAGTGCCGCAAGGCGGATGATTAGCTTATTGAGCCACAGCGCTGGCCAGTCTTTTGCATTTTTACTATCAAAATGCACAGCTGTAACTAGAAAAATGACTCCTCAGGATAGCAAAATGTGCTTGGTCACAAGACCTTCGAATCTACCAGAGATATCAGGAAAATCCTATGAGCATAAGTTAAAAATGTTAGTAACATAACAAATGAGAATATAAGTTGTAGATTGGAGGTCTTACTTAAAATCTGTTGAGCAATAGCAGAGGGAAAATTAGAGGCATTTTCTAAACCAGGTTCTTCATATGGCAGAAAATGTGTTACTTCAGCTCAATTTATTGTAAAGATGAGAACAAGACCTAAAATCTGCTTCTGCCAACTACACTAGTACATGACTTTAGAATTCCTCAAGATTTATTTCACAAAATAAAATCTCTGCAAATTTTCATGGCAAAATATGTCATTTGTAGCAGCATGAATTTCTTAGCTCTAGTTTAAACCATAACATCTCCAATTTTTTTTTAAAAAGTAACTTCAATGAAGGTCATAATTAACTATGGTTTTTTCCACTGTGGAATTCATATGAATTATCCCCCAAAATGGTTGGAGGAATTGCTATAGCAACCCCAAAACTGGATCCACTCACCCAATAAACAGCAAGCCAATTACTGACACAGGTCTTGTAGAACAAAGAAGTTGTATACTGAAGAAGAGAAATGAGGCTTGCACGTATGGCTTAATTCCAAGGCTTTCTGGGTATTACAAAAAATACTCTTATAGATTGAATTTACACTTGAGAGATGTGTGTTCTATGCAGGTAGAGGTCCCTAAACGCTCATGGTATTTGCAGTCTTCCTTTGATACCATGTTCTTCAAGGAATTTTGATGGTGGCAAAGAGGGCTTCTGTCAGACTGGTGGTTACATGCAAATGGCAGTTATTTTATGTTCCAAGACTGGTGTTTCAGGATAAGACACACAGTGAAAGTAGGCCAAGTGTGATGCTATCTATAGGAGAAATAAGTTCATGATTTTGGTGATTGGAACCTTACAGGGATGTTGATTAGGAACCTGGTACGGCCACTTGGATCACTCCCACAACTCAATGAGTTGACATTCCTAGTTTCTGGATTTATAATTATAAATGCATTGCAAGGAAAATTAAAATAAGGGAGAAAGGCTAGGAGACCTTGACACACTAGTACCATCTAACATTTGCATTCAAGGCAAGGTATAGGGGTTTTGCATGGGGTTAGAAAATGAGATCAATATCTCATTGATATTACACAAGTAATTCTGGGTTAATTGATCATATACAGTTGATGTCCTGTTTTTGAAAAATAATAAAAGAATCTTAAAAGTTTGGACAACAGCAGCTCTGGAGAATCAGGGAGAATAATAAAGTGGAGGATTGTGCACAAATGTAATGCATTGCCAGATGGGTGAAAACAAAAGGGACATGTATGAAGCAAGGAAAAGTGGTCATTGCATGTTTTAATTATCTTAAGGAGGAATCTTAAGGGATTTTATCAACATTTGGATATCATACATTTAATCACTCACGTTCTTTTTTTGAAAAACTCATTTATTTGAAAGATGCAGTGGCAGAGAAAGAATCACACACACACACACACACAGAGAGAGAGAGAGAGAGAGGGATTAATTCTGCTCATTCAATCCCCAAAAAGTGGCACAGGCCTGGTTTGGGCCAGGGCAGAGCCAGAAGAAATAATTTGCTGCTCACTACGGGCAGCAGGTCCAATAGAGCTCCTCAGGGCCAGCCTGGGAGCTCAGGGGCTGAGCGGGATGATGAGTGTCGGCGGCAAAGGAACCACACCAGAGCCAGGAGATCAGTCAGTGCCCAGGGCGCAGCTGGGTTCTCGACTTTATTGGGAGGGGAAGAGCTTTTATAGACACAGAAAGGGGGCTGTCCAGGGTACAAGGGAACAGAGCCAACCAGCTGAAAAGGAAGGCAGGACACAAGCCGGGCACTCCCTCAAGAGCCTATCACACCCGAGGACACATACTGTGCTTGAATACGGAAGTCTCCTGTCAGGCTAAGTACCTCCCCAGGGAGCCATCTTGGATTGTTGGAAACACTGAGTCACTGGGATTCGGAAGTGCGGCAAACTTGAGCAAAGGCTTAGCGGCCTTGTAGAGCGAAGGCTTAGCAACATTGTTTCCTTTTTGATTGGAGCCCCCCCGCAATAACTCCATCTGGATCTACCACATGGTTGACAGGGCCCATGTAGTTAGGCCATCTTCTTCTCCCTTCATAGTTGCATTAGCAGGAAGCTGGAGTAATCAGAACTTAAACCAGCACTTCCATATGGGACACTGGAGTCATAAGCAGCAGCTTAACCACTGGCCTACATCAGTCCCATGGTTCACATTCTTAACTGGATTTCTGAATATTCTATTCATAATATAACATTACAAAACTAAAAAGCAGATTTTTTTTCTATGTTGTCTACTCTCCCAATATTTTCTAACCAATATATTGGGGGGAAAATAAATGTTCTGGTTTTAGACATAAGCAAATCTATATTTTGGTTTACCTTTCAAGAAATAAAGGGTGTTTTTTGGGTACTAGGAGATTTATAACCAGCTATTAGCATTTATTTATTTAACTTGCACTGTATGCTTTTTTCCAACTTTTTGATGCATTTAAGATTACAACCTCTTCTATAAATCAGTCAAGCAATATTTATTGACTGCTTACTCTTTGGTTTCAAGCTTAATCATTCAGCACCACATTCAATCATATATATAATTTATCATCACGTCTAATAACCCATGTCTGTATGAGAAAATGTTAAACATATTTCTTGATATATTTTCATTTTTCATCTCAGAAGTACTGGCACTGAATCTGATACAGTTGCAAATAGATTAAAATGTGATTTTAGAATTCTCTGTGTTTTTTGTATTTTCTGGTTCAAAAGGTTTATGAAGTAGTCTAGATTAGGAATCATTTCCTGAATACTATGAAACAGAACAACTGCAATAAGGGTATATATCCAGTACCTAGTAAATTAGAAATGCCTTTTTTGAACTTGTATTGCATCATGTAACTTAACTACCTTGTTCTTGTATTACATCCTTCTAACTACACTTGCTTTAATTTGCTTTTTAAATAGTTTAGCATATGCAAATTAAATTAAGCATGTGTCCTTATGCTTTGATAAGTAGTGATACCTCACCAAATTCTAAATAATAGCAGACACACCTTTTTTTTCTGTCTGAGAATATTAAATATAGACTAAGGAGAATTCCTTTTCTGGAAATCAATGAAGAATGCAGATTAGATTTACATCCCCTAAACACAGGGAAGATTGGATAATATATATATATATATATATATATATATATATATATATATAGGTAGTCTTCAGCATTGGACAGAAAGATGTAATTTTGATCCTTGAGAAACAGAAATTATTCAAAAATTAATCTGATTTTACACCTAAAGAAGAGGTGAAATGGAGAGAGCCATGAATACCGCAATAATCTAGCAGTTTTGCAGCATTAAAAAGACAGAAATTGAGATTTGGGGGAAGGGGACTTGTACAACCAGAAGTTATAGGACTGAGTTCAATAAAGCATGGAGACATTTATATAGAAACAATTAAAATATTTGAATCTGGATTGCCTTATTTAAATAAAATTCTTGGTTGTGTGCTAAAGCACCTAACTGTGGCAAGAAAATCACCTAGATAAGACAACGGACTACAAGGACGTTGCTAGGTAAATAATTCCTAGAGCAGACATAAGAAAGAGACACTCAAGTTTCACCCATGAAGAGTGGAAAACTCTGGGTGGCTGAGCAGAGAGTTTATTTAAGATTACAAAGGAATAAAATCTGAGTGATAGAACTGAGTATACCTAAGGTTAAGACTAACATAGACTCCCCACAGAGAAACTAAAATAGAACTCAAAGACATCAGACTAACCCACAAGCAACTTAACTGCAGATTAAAACAGTCTCATATTCTTTATTTTTACTCCAATCATCATATTCTATCTGCCCTCCAAGAAGAGGAATAGATAAGGATTATCCTATCTGACAATCTCACACTCTTTTAAAAGAGAAGCTGGATCCAGATAATTCATCTTCTCCCTAGCAACAAAATTAATAGATGTAAAAGCAGCAGAAAAATGTGAATTTAAATCAAATTTCAACTCATTGAAAATGACTGAGTTCATCAACTAAAACCATATGTAAAACTGTATAATCCCTAAATATTTGGAAACTAAACAACATTCTTCTAAACAGTTCTTAAACTCATAATTAAGCACGTGAAAGAGAAAACCTTAAAATATTATTTATTTACTTATTTTATTAGAAAGACAGAGAAAGTGACAGAAAGAGCCTGCCCACATGCTCATTCTAACCAAATGCCTTATTCCAGTCCTGAGCCAGTAGATAGAAACTCAGACAGGGTCTACCACACACATTGTATAGACCTGACCACTTAAGCCATCACCTGTTGCCTTCCAGAGTGAATATTAGCCAAAAGTTGACACCATGTATGAAACTGACAAAGATCCAGGCACTCTTATAGGAATGTGGGTATCTCACATGGCATCTTAACTACCACACCAAACATCCCAAGAAGACACTTTTAACAAAAGAAAATGAACACTCAGTATAACAAAATTTGAGTAATAGCACTTAGAGTTTAACTCCGATGGCAGGAGCCAGGAGCCAGGTGCTTTTCCTGGTCTCCCATGGGGTGCAGGGCCCAAGCACCTGGGCCATCCTCCACTGCACTCCCTGGCCACAGCAGAGGGCTGGCCTGGAAGAGGGGCAACCGGGACAGAATCCGGCGCCATGACCGAGACTAGAACCCGGTGTGCCGGCGCCGCAAGGCGGAGGATTAGCCTAGTGAGCCGCAGCGCCGGCCTCTAATAACAAACACTTTTTAAAAAAAATGTTTATTTATGTGAAAGGCGGAGTTACAGAGAGAGAGAGAGAAGAGAGAGGGAGAGAGGTCTTCCATCTGCTGTTTCATGCCCCAAATGGCCTCAATGGCTGGAGCTGGGCCAATCTGAAGCCAGGAGTCCAGAACTCCTTCCAGGTCTCCCACCTGGGTAGAGGGGTCCAAGGACTTGGGCCGTCTTCTACTGCTTTCCCAGAGAGATGAATCAGAAGTAGAGCAGCCAGAACTTGAACTGGAGCCCATATGGGATGCCGGTACTGTGGGTGGCAGCTATTACTTGCTATGCCACATCATCGGTTCCATCAAACATTCTTGACAGCGAACTTTAAAATAATGTACAAAAATAGATTTTACGAGAAAAAATATTAAAAATAACTAATGAATAAATTGAAAAAAAAAACAAACAGATGCATGAATACAGTAACTTTTCCTACAAAGAAAACTCCAAGTAAAAATCATTATTTTTTTATTCTATGGAGCACTTAAAATGGAACTAGCACCAATCAAGTATGCTTTTTTGAAGAACACAGAAGATAAAACACATTTATGAGGGTGCTCTACTAACCTGATCTCAGAACCAAGCAATGATAATAGAAGAACACACTGTTACCCCTCATAGATGTGGACAGTTTCATAAGAAAAGTTCTTATGAAGCTATTGATAAGTGAACCTTGTAGTACATAGATTACTCAAAAATGTAATTGGTTTCAGGAATATATTGTGTTTAACATTCAAAGATCAAGCAACCTGGCCAGCGCTGCGGCTCACTAGGCTAATCCTCCGCCTTGCGGCGGCTGCACACCAGGTTCTAGTCCCAGTCGGGGTGCCGGATTCTGTCCCGGTTGCCCCTCTTGCAGGCCAACTCTCTGCTGTGGCCAGGGAGTGCAGTGGAGGATGGCCCAAGTCCTTGGCCCCTGCACCCCATGGGAGACCTGGCTCCTGCCATCGGATCAGCATGGTGCGCCAGCCGCATTGCACCGGCCGTTGCAGCCATTGGAGGGTGAACCAACGGCAAAAGGAAGACCTTTCTCTCTGTCTCTCTCTCTCACTGTCCACTCTGCCTGTCAAAAATAAAAATAAATAAATTTAAAAAAATAAAGATCAAGCAACCTAACTCACCACAGAGACTAAAACCTGATAATTTCTACAGATCTCAGAAACTGACAAAATGGAGCCGGCGCCGTGGCTCAATAGGCTAATCCTCCACCTTGCGGCGCCGGCACACCGTGTTCTAGTCCCGGTTGGGGCGCCAGATTCTGTCCCGGTTGCCCCTCTTCCAGGCCAGCTCTCTGCTATGGCCAGGGAGTGCAAGTGGAGGATGGCCCAGGTGCTTGGGCCCTGCACCCCATGGGAGACCAGGAAAAGCACCTGGCTCCTGGCTTCGGATCAGCGCGGTGCGCCGGCTGCAGCGGCGGCCATTGGAGGGTGAACCAACGGCAAAGGAAGACCTTTCTCTCTCTGTCTCTCTCTCTCACTGTCCACTCTGCCTGTCAAAAATTAAAAAAAAAAAAAAAAAAGAAACTGACAAAATGAAACATCCATTCATGAGAGAAAAAATTCAGCAAATTTTGAATAAAAGGAAATTTTCTCAACTTGGTAAAAGTCACCTAAAATAATGGACAATAAAATTATATTTAGTGATTAATATTAAACTTTAAAAAAATTGACATACCATATTAAAAATAAGTCATACTGACACACTTTCCAGACAATATTAAACATAGTAGTTATTAAAATAAGGCAAAACAAAAAAAGAAATACATGTAGTCACAAATGACACAGATATGTGCATATTAAGTTATAAGAGATCCACAAAAACATTACAATCAATAAATTTAAAAAAATGATTGAAGATACTTGATTAACATTAAATAGTATTACATATCTATATATCAACAATAAAATATAAAATATAAATTTTAATGTATATTTGCAATTTTGAAAAATACAATATGCAATATATATATAATATATGCAATATTTAAGTATAGGTTTGATAAAATGAAAATCTATATGTTGAAAATTTCAAATATTGATTAGGGAAATTAAAAGGGATATAAATAAAGATGTAGTATAGTGTATGTTCATACACAACAGGATTCAAGGTGGTCAAATTGCCAATTCTCCTGAAGTTATTCTACAGACTTGATATAATCCCAATAGAATCCACATCATGAGTTTTCCAGAGAAATCAATCCTCTGAATCTAACATTTATGTGGAAAGAAATATTACTAGAATGGCCTCAATTATTTTGAAGTTTACAAACACTATATGATTTCAAGAATTAAAGTTAGCTTGCAGTAATCAAAATAGGAGTATTGGGATCAGGATAAACATGCAGATAATTGAATCAAATAGTGAGTCTAGAAATAGACTTCCTTATCTACCTCAAATGATTTTCAACAAATATCCTAAAGTCATTCTGTGAGAAAAAATAACCACTTTGAACATAACTTTAGTCTGACTTATCACATATTAGTAAATTATATTTTATTCATACGGATCATAAATTAATTGTATAATCAAATTTCTTCTATTCAGAAGAATGTGGACAAATATTTACAGCCTTCACATAGCAAAGATTTGTAAGATATCATTTAAAATTTCAGACATTTGAGGCCAGTATTGTGGAGCAACAGGTTAAAAAGACTGCTTGCAAAGCTGGTATTCTATATCAGATTGCGGATTCAAGCCCTAGATGCTGTGTTTCTGAATCAGCTCCCTGCTAAATGTGCCTAGAAAAGCAATGGAGGCTGTTTCAAGTGTTTGGACTTCTGTCACCCATGTGAGTGTACCAGATGGAGTTCCAGCCTCCTGGCTCCAGCCTGGACCAGCTCTGACAATTGTGGCCATTTGGGAAGTGAACCAGTGAACAGATCTCTCTCCTTCCCTCTCCTCTCTCTCTCTCTCTCTCTCTCTCTCTCTCTCTCACACACACACACACACACACACACACACAGAGCCTATCAAATAAGTTCATAAATAATTTTAAAAAATCCAAACACTGAAACAGTGAAATCTGGCTTTCTGTCAAGCATCACTTATGGGCAACAATTCGTGTCCCAGTTGCTGCCAGTGGCCTGGGAAAGCAGAGGAAGACGGCCCAAGTGTTTGGGCTCCTGACACCCATGAGGTGACTTGAATAAAGCTCCTGGCTCTTGGCTTCTGTCTGACCCAGTCCTATTCATTAAGACCATCTAAGGAGTATACCAGCAGATGCAAGATCTTTCTGTCTCTCTCTCTCCCTGTATCTCTGTGACTCTTTCAAATAAATATTTAAGAGATAAACAAATTTAAATTTTGCTTTTTAAAAATCACAATTATATAAATGCAAACCACAAGCATTAGGTACTTACAACTTTGATGGGAAGTGAATGAATAATGAAAAAGTTTTTTTTTAATTTTTAGGTCAATATTTTTCATATCAGCTGACAGTCGCATACTCTCCACAGCTTAACCAAAGTGAAACTGTGAATGAATTACTTGAAATATTACTCAAAGAACATATCCAATACTTTGTATATCGAGAGAAAAATATATAGCTCACTAAGGTTTGATGAAAAATAATGGTATTTTCACTAATGCTTCCTGAAATTACAGAAGTATTAGCTCTTTTAGAGGATCTTCCATAGGTAGAGAGATGGATACATAGATAGACAGATACATAGATAGATAGATAGATAAAATCACCCAGTGTACAAATCTTCTGAAAATCTATTTTTATATATATTTAGAAGAAGAATGAGGACAGTTTTACAAAATGTCCCTGAAACAGCAACCTGGAATGTCAGTACTTATTGGAGGTAGAGCTTGATGTGCTGGACTTTTCTATTATAAACATCATTAACATTCACTTTTGAATGGTTTTTCTTTTATTTTTTAAAGATTTATTTATGTATTTGAAAGTCAGAGTTACATAGAGAGAGAAGGAGAGGCAGAGAGTGAGAGAATTCTTCCATCTGCTGGTTCACTCCCCAGAGCTGTGCTGATCCGAAACCAGGAGCCAGGAGCTTCTTCTGGGTCTCCCATGCGGGTGCAGGGGCCAAGGACTTGGGCCGTCTTCTACTGATTTCCCAGGCCATAACAGAGCTGGATCTGAAGTGGAACAGCCAGGCCTCCAATTGGC